CAAAAAAAAAAACAAAAACACATGATTATTTCAATAGATGTAGAAAAGGGCTTCAACAAAATTCAACAGCCCTTCGTGCTAAAAACTCTCAATAAACTAGATATTGATGGAACGTATCTCAAAATAATAAGAGCTATTTATGACAGACTCACAGCCAATATTATACTGAATGGGCAAAAACTGGAAGCATTCCCTTTGAAAACTGGCACAAGACAAGGATGCCCACTCTCACCACTTGTATTCAACATAGTGTTGGAAGTTCTGGCTAGGGCAGTCAGGCAAGAGAAAGAAATAAAGGGTAGTCAGTTAAGAAAAGAGGAAGTCAAATTGTGTCTGTTTGCAGATGACATGATTATATATTTAGAAAACTCCATTGTCTCAGCCCAAAATCTCCTTAAGCTGGTAAGCAACTTCAGCAAAGTCTCAGAATCCAATATTAATGTGCAGAAATCACACGCATTCCACCAATAATAGACAGACAGCCAAATCATAAGTGAACTCCCATTCACAATTACTACAAAGCGAATAAAATATCTAGGAATCCAACTTACAAGGGATGTGAAGGACCTCTTCAAGAACTACAGACCAGTGCTCAACGAAATAAAAGAGGACACAAACAAATGGAATCAATATCGTGAAAATGGCCATACTGCCCAAGGTAATTTATGGATTCATTGCTATCCCCATCAAGCTACCACTGACTTTTCCACAGAATTGGAAAAAACTACTTTAAAGTTCATATGGAACCAAAAAGGAGCCTGCATAGCCAAGATAATCGTAAGCAAAAAGAACAAAGCTGGAGGCATCGTGCTACCTGACTTCAAACTATACTACAAGGCTACAGTAACCAAAACAGCATGGTACTGGTACCAAAACAGATATGTAGACCAGTGGAACAGAAGAAGGGCCTCAGAAATAACACCACACACCTACAACCATCTGACTTTTGATAAACCTGACAAAAACAAGCAATGGAGAAAGGATTCCTTATTTAATAAATGGTGCTGGGAAAACTGGCTAGCTATTTGCAGAAAGCTTAAATTGGATCTCTTCCTTATACCTTATACTCAAGATGGATTAAAGATTTAAATCTAAGACCTAACACAATAAAAACCCTAGAAGAAAACCTAGGCAGTACCCTTCAGGACATAGGCATGGGCAAAGACTTCATGACTAAAACACCAAAAGCAATGGCAACAAAAGCCAAAATAGACAAATAGGATCTAATTAAACTAAAGAGCTTCTGCATAGCAAAAGAAACTATCATCAGAGTGAACAGGCAACCTACTGAATGGGAGAAAATCTTTCCAATCTACCCATCTGACAAATGGCTAGTATCTAAAATCTACAAAGAACTTAAACAAATTTTCAAGAAAAAAACAACCCCATTCAAAAGTGGGCAAAGGATATGAACAGAGACTTCTTAAAAGAAGACATTTATGCAGCCAACAGACATATGAAAAAATGCTCATCATCACTGATCATCAGTGAAATGCAAATCAAAACCACAATGAGATACTATCTCACAACAGAATGGCAATCATTAAAAAGTCAGGAAACAACAGATGCTGGAGAGGATGTGGAGAAATAGGAATGCTTTTACACTGTTGGTGGGAGCGTAAATTAGTTCAACCATTGTGGAAGACAGTGTGGCAACTCCTCAAGGATCTAGAACTAGAAATACCATTTGACCCAGCAATCCCATTACTGGGTATATACCCAAAGGATTATAAATCATTCTACTATAAAGACACATGCACACATATGTTTATTGCAGCACTATTCACAATAGCAAAGACTTGGAACCAACCCAAATGTCCATCAGTGATAGAGTGGATTAAGAAAATGTGGCACATACACACCATGGAATACTATGCAGCCATTAAAAAGGGTGAGTTCAAGTCCTCTGCAGGGACATGGATGCAGCTGGAAACCATCATTCTAAGCAAACTATCACAAGGACAGAAAACCAAACACTGCATGTTCTCACTCATAGGTGGGAGCCAAACAATGAGAACACATGGACACAGGGTAGGGGACATCACACACTGGGGCCTGTTGGGGTGGGGGGCTAGGGGAGGGATAGCATTAGGAGAAATTCCTAATGTAAATGATGAGTTGATGGGTGCAGCAAACCAACGTGGCACATGTATACCTATGTAACAAACCTGTACATTGTGCACATGTACCCTAGAACTTAAAGTATAATAAAAATAAAAAAGTATAATTGGATTGTTTGTAATACAAAGAATAATGCTTGAGGTGGTGGATACCCCCATTTACCTTGATATGATTATTATACGTTGTAGTCCTGTATCAAAATATCTTATGTACCCCATAAATATAAATACCTACTATATACCCACAAAAATTAAAAATTAAAACTTTTTGGAAAAAAAAGGAGAATGGGACACAAACAGGCACAGGGAGAAGATCACATGAAGATACCAGAAGAAAATGGCCAACTACAAGCTGACAATAATTACCCTCAGAAGAAATCAAACTGTCAACACTTGATCTTGGACTTCTACAAAGCCACTTTTGCCAAATGAAGTGACATTCACAGGTTTTGGGAATTAGGACATGAACATATCTTTTGAGACGCTACCATTCAGCCCACTACAGCTGTTTGTAAAAAGAAGCAAGCCTCCTGATGGAAGTAAATGTTACCTTCTCGAGAAAATAAATAAACAAACAAGACAAAAAGCACCCATTCCAATGTATAGGAAATACTGGAAACAGAATACTACAAGGATGTAATAAAAATTACATCTTTGTCATTTTTTTCCCAGACTGCAGGAAACTCTACAGAACAAAAACCTAGTTTCTTCAACAATTAAATTGCAAGAGGGAGAAAAGCAGAGATAGATGAAGAAACGTGTATAGGAAAGGAAACCTAAACAGCATCGTGCAGTTGCACTGTGGGGGCTATATTTGTATCCTGATTTGAAAAACTTTTTTGTAATAAAGGAAACAATCAGGGAAATTTGAGAACTTGTTGCTTTATAAGTACTTACTGTAAATTGTAATGTGGATATATTTTCTTAAAAGAATCCTTATCTTTTAGATGTACTGAAATATTTATAAATTAAATGATATGTCTGGAACTTGTTTCAATATAATTAGGAGTAGAAGAGGTAGATGGGCTTAAAGATGAAAGAATATTGGTCATAAGGGGATGTTTTGGAAACGGGGTGATGAAGACATGAGGATACATTCCACTGTTGTCTTTACTTACATGTGTATTTGAAATTTTCCGTAACAAAGAGTTTAAAATTTTAAAAGGTTGAAACCTCTTCCTCAAGAGAAACAAAACAAAAAGATTAATAGTGCTTGAGGACAGGTTTGGCAGCTAGAGAGGTGATCCTCTTAACTTTTCTGCATGGTGATTAGAGAGGCTCTGAGGGCTGTGTAATGAGCTTTCACAGCTATTCTAGCTTAAAGCTGGAATCCAAGAAGAGAACAAAGTACATTTCTCTTTGAGAATATGTTTATTCAGCCAGCCTTCCCAGACCATATTCTAACGACTCCTCACCTCATCTCACCCCATCATCGGCCTGGATTAAATATCACCTTGTTCTCTTCCCATACCCTCTACACACTCTGTGGTGTATTTTAATTATGTAGTGTGTTTGGTTCACCCAGTTTCCATATTATAAATTCTTTGAAGATACTAACCTTGTTTGTTCATCTTATTCATCTATATATCCCCCTCATCCCTGGGTTTCATGTTGGACCTGGTAAACTCTCTCAATAAATGGTTGGTAGAGTGAGGGGGTGGGAAGCAATAGAGAACTGGGATTGCACTGGTAAACAAAATGCAATATACACTTACTATTTTTTGTATCTCCTCAATTATCCCTTTTCCCAGGACTACTAAATTAGAGCTACAGAGTTACTTTGAACTTTTTTTTTCTTCTGCCCATCTTCTAGCAGAGGTGCTAATGGGCTATAATATACTGCAAATGAAAGATAAGTAAGGGGTAAGCCATGTGTTAGCAAAATAGAAAGTGGGGTGCCCCATCAGATGCTGATTTCCACTCTTTCCCAAGGTATGTAAATACAATGAATTTTTTTCAGATGGCTGCCTTTCTGTGCTATTTGTTCTTCTGCTTTCTGTGTATCAGAATTCTTCTTTTATAGAAATTCCAGGCTGGGCGCAGTGGCTCATGCCTGTAATCCCAGCACTTTGGGAGGCCAAAGCGGGCGGATCACGAGGTCAGGAGATCAAGACCACACTGGCTAACACGGTGAAACCCCGTCTCTACTAAAAAAGTACAAAAAAATTAGCAGGGCGCAGTGGCGGGCGCCTGTAGTCCCAACTACTCGGGAGGCTGAGGCAGGAGAATGGCATGAACCTGGGAGGCAGAGCTTGTGGTGAGCTGAGGTTGGGCCACTGTACTCCAGCCCAGGCAACAGAGCAAGATGCCATCTCAAAAAAAGAGAGAAAAAAGAAATTCCTTTCTAGCCTGTCTTCTTGGTATGCTGTAAGATGGTAATTAGTGTGTAACCTCCTCAAGAAGGTGCTGAGAAATACTCTACAAACACTATTTGGTGCTGTGGATAGGATTATCTGGCAGTTTCCTAGTGGATGGCAATGGCCATGAAACAGACTTTAAGAGGCCCATAAAATTTTAGAGCTGGGAGAGATGGAAAAGACCAATGTGCTTCCTTATGTGCACCCTGTTCTGTATTACACAGAATAGATTTTTGTGTAAAAACTATCTTCTTGCCTTCTTAAGGTTTTGTATATTGTCCAGTTCCCAAATCTGATCTAGTTTCTAAACTATCACTTTCCAAATTTATTTTTGAGAAAATAGTACAGATAAATAATAACAATTGTCTAAAATGAAAAAATGTGTAACGTCATTTCTTTCTTACCACAGTGTTGGATGATTTCTCATTTGTATAGAAAACAGCAGAATAAATCTTAAACTTAATAATGTAATTGGACATTTTAACCTCATTAAAGACCTAAAGATATTTTATTTTCTCTTTAGGTGGTACGGGACTACAATCTTCAACTGTTTTTGCAAGAGAATGCTGTATTTCACAAACCCCAGCCCTTCCAGTTCCAGCCTTGTGACAGTGATACTGTAAGGGAATTACAGATTTTCATTTCATGTGTTGTTCAGTTGTGTTTGTGCTCAAGTAACAGTTATCCTTGGTGTAGACAGATGGAAAAAACTTGAGTGTATCTCATCAATTTTATAACAAAACTGTAAGGATGCAGAATAATGACGACTTTTTTCTGAATTGTGGCCAAGAAACTCAGTGTCTTCATGCTAACAACCTTCTACCAAATGAGGTTAAGTTATAAGACAAGTTTCTGAAACCTGAAAACATCTGAGGGAAGAAGAAAAATATTCAATACGTTTACTCAAATTAAATTATATTTTCCCTGAAACTCTTTTTTTTTTTTTTTTGACAGAGTTTTGCTCTGTCACCCAGGCTGGAGTGCTGTTTTCAATCTCGGCTCACTGCAAGCTCTGCCTCCCGGGTTCACGCCTTTCTCCTGCCTCAGCCTCCCCAGTAGCTGGGATTACAGGCGCCCACCAACAGGCCTGGTTAATTTTTTGTATTTTTAGTAGAGACAGGGTTTCACCATGTTAGCCAGGATGGTCTCAATCTCCCGACCTTGTGATCCGCCCGCCTCGGCCTCCCAAAGTGCTGGGATTACAGGCGTGAGCCACTGCGTCCGGCCTCCCTGAAACTCTTTATGTTGTACCCCTCCAAAGAAATCAGTAGTTAAATTTTAACCAGAATAGGCCAGGCACTGTGGCTCACGCCTGTAATCCCAACCCTTTGGGAGGCCGAGGCAGGTGGATCTCCTGAGGTCAGGAGTTCAAGACCAGCCTGGCCAACATGACGAAACCCTATCTCTACTAAAAATACAAAAATTAGCTGGTCGTGGTGGTGGGCACCTATAATCCCAGCTACTTGGGAGGCTAAAGCAGGAGAATCACTTGAACCTGGGAGGCGGAGGTTACAGTGAGCCGACCCCACCACTGCATTCCAGCCTGGATGACAGCGTGAGATTCCATCTCAAAAAAAAAAATTTAACCAGAATAGAATTAATAAATGGAATAATGAACATGTGTATGAAATATTTTGGTGGGTCTTATAAAAGATTATAGGCTTTTTACAATTCCTTTCGGATTTCTTAGAATATTAAACCTCAAATTAGCAATTTCTTTTAATGCCTCTACGTCGCTGCCATTTTTTTTATTGTAGCAGAATACACATAACACAAAAATTACCATTTTAACCATAGTTAAAGTGTAAGATTGATTCACTGTCACTACATTTCCAATGCTGTGCACTGTCATCACTTTGTAGTTCCACAACATTTCATCACTTTAAAAAGAAATCCTGACCCCATTAAGCAGGCACTCTCCCTATGCCCCTCACCTCAGCCTGTGACATCATTAATCTACTTTCTGTCTGTAGATTCTAACTGGCAATTTTTGTTTTTATTTTCACTTATTTTTTATTATTATTATTTATTTATTTATTATTATTATTTTATTTTTGAGACAGGGTCTCACTGTCACCAGGGCTGGAGTGCAGTAGTGTGATCTCAGCTCACTGCAACCTCCCTCTCTTGGGCTCAAGTGATCCTCCCACGTCAGCCTCCTGATTAGCTGGGACCACAGGCAGACACCACTATGCCTGGCTATTTTCTTTGTATTTTCAATAGAGATGGGGGGTCTCACCATGTTGCCCAGGCTGGTCTCAAACTCCTGAGTTCAAGCGACCCACCCACTTTAGTCTCCCAAAGTGCTGGGATTACGGGTGTGAGCCACAATGCCCGGCCCCAGTTGGCAGTTGTTTAAAAGCATACAGTAATTGTCCTTGAGTTTATGGGAAATGTTTGCCATTATTTAAATTTTTAAAAAAGAACAAAAATGCTAATTTGGTAACATAGAAATGAAATTTAACTTCTGCAAAATGAGAAGGCACATGTTGGCATTATTAGCACATTCTCTCAATGTAGGCAAGCCAAAAGGAAAGTCAAATTATATTCATAAAGTATTTTGATAAATTTAGAACCAGAACCAGGGGAGTTTGTGATATAGTTCCAGAGTTTAATGGTATCAGTTTAATAGAAACACATTTGCCAGAGGTATCTTCATTACTTTTCTTACACTTGTAAGTAGCTCTGTTAGCAGCTATATAAAGAAATGTAGGAAATCAGCATTTCCCTCTATATTACAACGTTTGCCCTTTGTCATAGTGCTTTTTTTAAATAAAATCAGCCTTTGCCAATGACTTATTCACATTCTCCTGGGATTTGATTTCTTCGAAGCCTGGGAGGGATGAAGCAGAGCATTAGAAGATACAGGGTAGAGACAAGTTTGTCAAGCTTGACTTAAAATTATGACTAATTTGATGTTATTTTATCACTGCTATTTTCCACAGAAAAATAACAGTGACTCTCATCTCACTTTTTCCCAGCCCAACTACAGCCCTAAATCCTTTGTTTCTAAACACTGTGCTAAATGTTCTTAGGTGTTGTGTCCTTGTTTGCCTTACATTTCTAACTCTATGCTATGTTTTTTGTCCTTGTGCAATCTTTACTGGGCAGAGTTTAAAAGCCGCCCAACTGGTGGATATTGAGCTCTCCCCTGTCAGTGCTCTGAGAATGACCATAGCTGAGGTATATGGGGTGTGGGTCAAGGGCGGGAGGGATGGGACGTGTGGGTTTGCATGTTAATGAAGGGTGGGACCTGGTGTTGGGATGAAAGTTATGTATATACATATATAAGAGGCTCCTAATGCACCAACTGTGTTTTCTCTTATAAATTAAGAATTTCCTTCCCTGTTTATAGTGAAGAAATTGAGCTTCTCATTTTTCATCTTGTGTGAAGCACCTTAATTTTCTTCAGTGGGTGTGCTGGAGAGAACCTTATAGTTAATCTTGTCTTTATTAAAGGGGAAACTGTAGCCTAATAAGGGAGACTTGTCCAGAGTCATATGGTAAATTAATGACATGTTACTATTGTGATTGCAATAGTAATGTTATTTCTGCTCTGCTATTCTGTCTTCTAAGAAGAAATGTGCAGGACTTGGGAAGCAATTAGTTTTTTCATAATGGAAAAAGATAAATGCCTATGATTTTAAAAAATCATTCCATACCTTCAATCATTTAAAAAGCCTTTTTTTTTTAAGACAGGGTCTTCTTACTCTGTCTCCCAGGCCAAAGTGCAGTGGCATAATCACGGCTCACTGCAGCCTCAACCTCCTTGGCTCAAGCAGTCCTCCCACCTTAGCTTCCCAAGTAACTGGGACTACAGCTAATTTTTATTTTATTTTTATTTTTAGTAGAGAGGGGATGTCACCATGTTGCTTAGGCTGTCCTTGAACTTCTGGGCTCAAAAGATCCTCCTGCCTCAGCCAGACATTTATTATTGTCTGGCTCTGATTATAATCATCCTAGTGGATATGAAATAGTATCTTGTGGTTCTGGTTTGCATTTCCCTAATGACTAATGATGTTGAGTATCTTCATGAGTGTATTAGCCACTCATATATCTTCTTTGGTAAAATGTCTATTCAAACCTTGTTTCTATTTTTTTATTGGATTGTGTCTACTTGTTATGGATTAGATCTTGAAGATGAATTGCAGTTTATGCAAAGAGGGAGAAACAACATGCCAGGAAGCGAAAACAAAAATTGAAAAGAATAAAAATAATAGGTGACATTCATTGAACATTTATTTCATGCTAGACAATTTTCTAATGGCATTACCTGTATTAATTTATCTCACAACAACTCTATATTGTAGGTGCTATTTTTAATCCTTCTTTTACAGTTAAGGAAACTAAAGTTAAGAAATCTGGCTGGGTGCAGAGGCTCACGCCTGTAATCCCAACACTTTGGGAGGCCAAAGTGGGTGCATTGCTTGAGCCCAGGAGTTTGAGACTCGGGCAACATGGCGAAACCCTGTCTCTAAGAAAAAAAAAAAAAAAATACAGAAAACTAGCTGGGCATGGTAGAACACACCTGTAGTCCCAGCTACTCAGGAAGCTGAAGTGGGAGGATCACTTGAGCCCGGGAGGTGGAGGTTGCAATGAGCCGTGATCGTGCCACTGCACTCCATCCTGGGTGACAGAGCAAGACCCTGTCTAAAAAAAAAAAATTGAAAGAAAGAAAAGCAATTTGCTTTCCTCAAGATCACTCAGCTAATAAGCATTAGAGTCAGAAAAGTTTGAAAGTACATAACTGTACCTGAAATAGCACGTAGACTTGGTGATGAAAGTGGGATGCAACCAGGTGTTATTTTTGAGTTTTATATATGATGGTAAATGGAGAACTATGTATTCAGGTAAGATAGTAATAGGATGAGACCCATTGCAGGGGCAGGACAGTATTGTTCTTTTATTTTGAATTTTATAGTTTGAGTTAGGGATTTTGAACTGCTTATGGGTTTAAAACATTTATTTTTCATTTACTAAGCACTTACATATACTTTGCATATGCCTTTAAGGCCTTACAGACAAGAGAATTCAGCAAATGTTTTATCTAAATTTACATAAGATATAGTTAGGAAAGTTCTAGGACTTTTAAAAGTTACCACTGTGATAAAATGTAACTCTTATTTCCTTCTGATTTTCATAAACTGTCTTAAAATTTTTTTAACTTTTTAATATAACCCCTTTCAAACTAAACTGTTTTCCCTACAAAAGTCCAAGGCACCCAGTTGAATATGTATAGTCACAGTATTATTATGGTAATTTAATTTTAGGGCTTTTTTGGGTAGAATTTTAGTATTAACCAAAAGATGACTACAAGTGACGGTGACCAATGGCAAGCTTTGTCTTATGTAGTAACTTAATAGCTGTCTCATGGTTAATACTGAAGGATTTTCTTATCTATATTTCCATAAGAGAGTTACTGATTTCTAAAGTGTTCTTTCTTTATATCTTCAATTAGCATTTCTCAGATGATACCAGAAAGCCAGAGCTCTTTCTAGAAAAAGTAAAATACATCTTTTTTTGCTGAAATGACTTTTTAATGCAGAATTATTCTGAGGAGGATATGGAATGTGCCTTTAAATCTTCCTCTCTATAATAAGGATATTCTGTGAGAGAGAACTGATAAACACATTTATTAGGATCTCAATGTTAAAGTCATTCAGCTGACACATGGATCACACTGGGGTTAGTGATTCATACAGGTGGTGTACAATGGAGAAAACATGAGTTTGGGTGTCTCAACTAGCAGTTTATTTACATATATTTCACTTTTGTGATTCAGCTTCCTCATGTGTAAAATAACAACAGTTTTCCCTTGGTATCCATGGGGGATTGATTCTAGGAACCTCTTCGTGTACCAAAATTCACAGACGTTCAGGTCTGCTATATAAGATGATGTAATATTTGCATATAACCTGTGCACATCCTTCATATACTGTAAATCATCACTAGATTATAATCCCTAATACAATGTAAATACTCTGCTAATAATGGTCCTATTACATTGTCTAGGGAATAAGACAAGGAAAAAAAGTCTGTACATGTTCAGTACAAACACAACAATCCTTTTTTTTTTTTGTTCTTTTTAAAAAATATTTTTGATCCACAGTTGGTTGAATCCACAGATACAGAACTCACAGATATGGAAGAACAACTGTATCTTATTTGTTTGAAAATTAAATAAGATACTAAGCATTTGACTCAATCTCTGGCATACTGAGTCAGAATAGATGTTGACTGACTTCAGCATTTTTTGGTTTTTTTTTTTTTCTTTTTTTGTTTTTTTTTAGTATTTTCCCCCTAATTGCTACAGGAAATACCAAATATCAAACGTAGAAGACATTACAAATCTTGAAATACTTGCAATACTTTTGCAGTCATGATCCCTAGCTCTCAACTCCCTCATTGGATTGATCACTGAGAGTCCCTTGGGACTTTTGTTCTCCTACTTATTCCACAAAGAGGATCTCATCAACGTCCTTCTTGGCAGTTTGTACATCTGAAAGGCAATCTGTTTGGACTAATTTTAAGTACATGACTTGTACTTTTTAACACCTCTGCCCTACATACATCTCAGTGACCCATCCCTTCATTACCAGAACTAGTGATGAGTGCCATCAGGGGCATTTTCTCACATCCTGTGAAAAAGGACAAAGTGAAGCTGGGATGGGAAATAATATGGGAAACATACATGTCCACAAAACTTGGGTAAGTATGATCTATATAGGCAGGAAAAACAAGGAAACTTTCTCAAGTTTCCCAGTCGAGATGAGAATACCCTTTCCCCTTTACCTTCCTTGAACTGCAAATAACAAGATCTTCACAGATAATGATAGTAAAAAGCTGACACTAAATTTCTGATGTATGATCTTTCCCTGTTATTCTAGATGCTATTTCTGATATTTAATTCTGCCTTCTATAGATGAACAATTATAGTAAGTAAGATGTCCACTTGCTATAGTTGAGGATTTTTACACATTAAAGTTTTACGTAAGGGGAGTGATTTATGCATCTATTAAAAATAAATATTTGGCAAAAATTTCCCTTGTCTATAAAAGACTACATGGGGTTAATATACTGTGCGGGAAATGTACCTGAAAATTCGCTATGTTATGGGTGGCTCTTTCTGCTTGTAGAAATTTTGTATTGCATATAGCGTTGTCTCATAAACATGAAAAAGGCTGTGATAGGATTTGTGGGAAATCCTCCTATTGAGTAAACAGGTACCATCCTCTTACAGATATGCTTGGCACAGTATCCAAAAATGAGAGGCTTTGACTAAAGACATGAGTGTTGCATTTTAGAATTAGCAATACTGACAGTTAAGTGTTCATAGTGGTTGTCCTAATTTCTTCAGCATTTCACAAAAGGCTTTTTGTAAAAAGTCCACCATCTATATGATAGGCCCTCTACTGGTTTAGTCACCTTTCTTCCTGATCTGTTTCCTTGTCTAACCATCCAGAGTAACTAGATCTTTGCATAGATGCATTAGTTATGTGCTGACACATAGGAGCCTGGAAGTTCCCCTATCTAGCTTGTGATTATAGTTCTTAAAGCAAAATCTCTGTAAGAGCTACCAAAATAAAGGCATACTCTTTATAAGGCTGTTCATTTAACCATGCTTATAGGTATGTTTTCGAAAGTGTTAGACACAATGTTTTTATTGCCATTTTTGTTTTACTTTTATGTCATTACTCAGGGACATATTTTTTGCTAAGGTTTGCGTTTGATACTCTAACCCAAGACAAAAGTATAGCTCCTTTCAGAGTTCTCATCATTTCTTCACCCCAGCCTTATTGGGTATATTCCTTTTCCCCAGATGTCCAAGGCTCAGTCCACACCAGTTCTTCTCCAGCGTACTTTCCTGAGAGACCAGGCACACTCAACAATTATCTAGATGAGTTCCCACTTCTTTCCAAGTGAAGGTTCTGCTATCCTAGCATAGTCAGAATAAATTAAATTATGTCTCTTAAGAGGCAGTGTTCCACTCCTCTTCAAGGTGTGTGGCATATTTGAAATATGTGACTTAGAAGTCTACAGTCTCTTACCAAAAGCCTTGGGCCAAATATATTTCAAAACTCAGAATTTTCCAGATTTTAGAAAAGTGACCCATATACCATACATTGCATAAAATCCTGAGCATTGTATGGGGAAGCACCCTGTGATCAAACATAGTATTTTTG